CGGTTTGCGGGTTAGCGTTGGAGATTCCCTTACTCGTGTCGTGGTGTCGAACTAAAACCATGACACTTATTATGATCAAAGGGAGTAATTGATTTCTTGTGGGTATAAACTTCATTTCGATACGTCACCACTTTGTTAAGTCCAGGAGATAATTTGATTTTTGAATAATAACTGCAACTATATACTTTAATAACTGGCAGGATCCTCAAAAAAAAGTTGGCAAGGCAGAAGGCCTACGTAGGTTCTAGTTCTTACATAGTACTATCTAATATCTTTTTTTTAGGATAGTACTATCTAATATCTTCTGCTGCACTGTACCGTAATCATTGGTTGTAGTTTGTATCTAACGGTTATAAGTGTGTGAATGTACCATGAATTTAGTTTTTTCTTCTTGAATATAGGCCTCAGGAAATTCAAGTCTTCAAGTTGAGCATTTCACTTTTTCACCAAGCATAGCTGACAACATACGGGAAGCATCCTTAGTCATCAGTCATGCAGGTGATGATCAAATCTGAATAATAGATTTATTTTCTTGAGAAACTATAATGGAACGATACTTGAAGCAGATTATTTGATGGTTAATCCTTTGGCCTATGTATATTGGTTGTTGTAATGATATAGCCCTAAGCAATCTCTTTCACACTGATATTGTCACAACTCTTAAACCTGTAGAAATCTATGTTAAGGATTTTGATTCTTCTGTCATTATTTATGGATTTGGAGTTTCAACTTCAAATAGGAGTAACTTTTTTGGCGAGAAGGAAATAAATACTACAGACTAGCATTTCGACACATGTCCATTACTAGGTGGTCACTATCGTGCACTATCCTGTGAATTTTGTAGAAGGCGGACAAAGGTGCCTGCTGAATTGGCATTAGTCACTAGTGATCATGGAATCAGGACTTGTAGTTGCATCTGTATGTAGTCTTTTGGACTTTTGTTGTTGGAAAACTTGCTATATTTTAGAGCGAGAGGGTTATGGAAATATAATATGCTGCCCGTGTTGCATTTTAGCGACATGAATGGTTGGAAAAAGCATTCCAATCCATCGTTTGTTTAACTTGTTATTGCTGACAGGTTCTGGCAGCATATTTGAGACGCTGCGACTGGGCAAACCTCTTATCGTGGTTGTGAATGAAGACCTGATGGACAATCACCAAAGCGAGCTAGCAGAGGAACTGGCCGAGAGGAATCACCTTTTCTGTGCCCATCCACACACGTTGCGGGAGACCGTCGAGGCGATGGATCTGAAGACGCTCCAGCCTTACGTGCCAGGAGAGGCCAAGCCAGTTGTGGCACTGATAAACAGATTTCTTGGTTTCCCTGTTGATTGATAGTGCGTATTTTCTCTTCATGGAACAATCATTTATTCAGCTTTGAAGGGCCTGTAAGACGTGGAGCAAAGATTTCAAGAATGTACAGATTTACACCGTTTTATGGCGAGATGATTTTCTGGGTTTGACCCCATTTGTAAGATGCAATTTAAGAACACCTGAATGAAGTTATTACGGATCCAAAGTGCATACTCCCTTCATTTACTTAAGGCTCTTCCTAGTGCTCCATGGTGGACAGGTGCTAAGCATGTTACATAAGTGAAAAATTGGCATGGCATAATAGTTAAGGAGGAGAAAGAGCACTTTGGTGACCCGGGAAGAACCAATGCCAAATGTGTGAACCTAGGTAAACCATTTAAATGAAATAACTTGACCAATGGATGAAAGACTTTAAGTGTTAACTTATTAAATAAAGTGTGCTTAGCAACAACAAGTTAAGCACCTATGCACTGGGGAGTTGAGTTGCTAAGGTATTTAATGCACTTATCACCTTATCTAAGCACCTTTGCATTGGAGGAGGTCTGAGTATACAAGACCACATACTCCCCCCCTTTCAGTTTACAAGTCCTGCGTGTATACCTAGATTGCCAATTTTATCACTCTAATATAAACTATATAACACAAAAATTATACCGTTTGAAAATAGAACATCTGAAGTTTATATTGGTATATTTTTTGTAATATATGACTTGTATTAGGTTGGTCAAATTGACGATCTAGGGGTACGTGCACACCCTGTAAACTGAGAGAGAGGAAGTACTTGAATTACAGGTACCAAGATAAAAATTAATATCTATTTTGTAAGTCAACTTGTCTTTTGTTTACTAGGTTAATTAATAGGGCACATGAAAATTAGAGAAAATTGAATGGAACAAAGGGAGAAAGTAGTTGAGACTATTATTGTCATTCACTGCATGCATGCGAGCAGTTAAACCATGAGTTGCTAATATGAGGCAAGGTCATCAATTTTTGCATCGGTTACTCTTGGTAGCCTTGTATAGCTACAAAATATATTTTCATAGTGGTCTTGTTGTATACAAAAACTGAAGTAGTAGTTTAAATACTTTGAAGGGTGGTTATGTACTCCCTCTGTGCAAAACAGAAATGAAGCAAGACCACGACACTTATTTTGGGGAAAAAATAAATAACAACCATGATACTTATTTTGGAACTGAGGAAGTTTATCAAAATCATCGGATGAATATACCGCGTTTTCATCGATACAATGGAACTGGAAATTATTTTGTTGGTTGTCACTAGGTGAGTAAATTACAAAATAAAAAACGTATTTGTGGTTAAGGCATCTCCAATAGGTCCCTATTTTAGGGCACTAATAAACTGTACTTGGAGCAAAATTTGCAACATCTCAAAGTAATTTTCAGGGTACCAAAAAACGTGCATCTCCAATAAATGCCCTAAAATAGGGCACTAGTGCTCAAACAGTTGCCCTAAAATAGGGCATTCGCACCATAAATGCATACATATTGCAATCAAACAAATATCAAACTTATGTCAAATCAATCCAAAACAAACATAACAATAATTCGACCCACAACATCAAATGCAACACAATACAACAAAGTTTAGCACACAATGCAATAAAGTTCATCAACAATACAACAAACACACAGATGAAAGGAACTAGGGGCGTAGAAACGGTATGGTTTGGCAAGGTAGCATTAGCTTTGCCCCGGCAAAGGCCATCTAGAAGTGTTGGGCTCCTCTCTCCTGCAAGCTGTTCATGTGGCTAGCCACACATTATCGTCTCTGGACGACCGATCGTAGATTCAGACATGGGCTTCAAGATCATCGATCACCATGCTACATATGTGCCCAGGAGGAAGACACTATGGATCACATCCTGGTTCAATGTGTTTTTGCTCGACAGGTCTGGCATAAATGCTTTCAACAAGCTCGGTTGGATATCTCTCTGGTCCCGACCACAAATGACTCCTTGGAGGACTGGTGGATGGCGAGTCGCGCTCTAATACCAGCTGAGCACAGAAAGGGTTTTGATTCGCTGGTAATGCTATTCACTTGGCAGCTGTGGAAGCATAGAAACGATATGGTTTTTGGTCAGAGAACTGCGATTGACACGGTGCAGCATTTTACCATGCAAACTTTCGAAATTATGCGCACTTGGGTGTTGGCAGGAGGACGTGTAGTTAGCATATTTTGTGAGTAGTAGAGTGTAGTGTTGGAGTGGAGCTGGGGATCTCTGGCAAACATCGGTTAGGTCGTGTGCCAGATCATACCTCTCATTTGTAACAATTTCTTGTACATATTTCCATCTTCTATAAAGCTAAGGTACGCGATTGCGTACTCTCAAAAAAAAGAAAGGAACTAGGGGCGTTGTTGCCCATGCCATGCCACCCTCCTCCATGATATCTTTTTGAAGAACATTATGAGTATCGAACTCTGATGTCATGGTACACCTTAACAAAAGCGTTGGATTTGATCTTACCTTCTAGTTGGCCACATCGGTTTTCTGTGAGGTGATAGAAGGTGTAATCTAAATTTTATCCACACTCGTTCTCAATGACACGTTCAAGACCATGCAAGTTATGATGGTGTACCAAAGGTTTTCTTGATCCCAAAATCTAGCCGGTCCTTGCACAATAGCAAATTGGATGGTTATCCCTATTCTATAGCCTGTCCTTCTTAGTGCAACCCAGGCACCTAGGTGGGTGCCCCATATAATTTACCTATATATAGAAAGTCTATTCATCACCCAGTGTGCAGAATAAATTATTCTTCACTCGAGGTAATCTTAAGATCATTTCACAAATAAATTACATTTTAAATACGAATAGTTACATTCATATTGATTCACCGTGTAAAATTTGGCATAAGAAAAAAGGTGATAAGATTAGAAAAATTACATTTTATGTACATTTTACATTATGTTTTTACATTTGTAATTTTACATAACATACAATATTTTTTACGAAGATTTTTTTACGTTCTCTTTTTATGTCTGAAATAAGATAAAATTTATGATTTTACAGTGCATTGATATTAAAATAGAGGGGGGGGGGGTGAAGAATAACTATTCCTCACTCAGGGTGACGAATTGTCAATGAGCTAGTCTAGTAGAGGCTTACTAGGAACACGGTGGTACAAGTGTAGTATGAATAGTAGATATAGGTTTTCGTAATATGAAAATATAAAAATAGCAAGGTAGAAGTGATAAAACGGAGCACACACGATATTGCAATGCTTGAAAACAAGGCCTAGGGTTCATATCTTCACTAGTTATAATCTCCCAAGAGTGCTAATATAATTGAATCATATAACAATCCCTCAACGTGCGACGAAGAATCACTCCAAAGTTCTTATCTAGCAGAGAATATAAGACGAAAATGTTTTGTAGGGTACGAAAGTTATCCTTTCTGATCAATCTATTAAGCTATTCCTATAGGTGTCACAAATGCCCTAGAGTTCGTACTAAAATAACACCATATGATACACATCAACCAACTCTAATGTCACCTAGATGCTCCAATGTCACCACAAGTATCTGTGAGTTGATTATTCGATATGCATCAAATAATTTCAAATTCATAATATTTAATCCAACATAAAGAACTTCAAAGAGTGCCCCAAGATTTCTATAGGATAAAGTAGGACGAACACATGTATCAACCCCCATGCATAGATTACCCGGATGTCACCACAGGAATCCGCAAGCTGAGTACCAAAACATACATCAAGTGAATCAATAGAACACCCCATTGTCACCAAGGGTATCCACATGCAAGACATATGTGACGCCCCCGATTTAATCGTACACTAATCATGCACGCAAACATGTACGGTCAAGATCAGGGACTCACGGGAAGATATCACAACGCAACTCTAAAAACATAAACAAGTCATACAAGCATCATAATACAAGCCAGGGGATCGAGGGCTCGAATACAAGTGCTCGATCATAGACGAGTCAGCGGAAGCAACAATATCTGAGTACAGACATAAGTTAAACAAGTTTGCCTTAAGAAGGCTAGTACAAAAGTAGCAACGATCGAAAAGGCGAGGCCTCCTGCCTGGGACCTCCTAACTACTCCTCGAAGTCGAACTCCACGTAGATCCTCGGGATCCTCTGGCTCCTGGACTCCATCATATGATCGCAATAACCGGGAAATGGGGGAAAAGAAATAGCAAAGCAACCGTGAGTACTCATTCAAAGTACTCGCAAGCAAGGATCTACACTACATATGCATTGGTATCAATAAAATGGGTAGTATCTGTGGACTGAACTGCAGAATGCCAGCATAAGAGGGGGATAGCTAGTCCTATCGAAGACTACGCTTCTGGCAGCCTCCATCTTGAACCAGTAGCTGAGAGTAGAGGTAAGTTAACCAAGTATCAATGTATAGCATAAACCTACCCGGCGATCCTCTCCTCGTCGCCTTGTGAGAGAGCGGTCACCGGGTTGTATCTGGCACTTGAAAGGGTGTGTTTTATTAAGTATCCGGTTCTAGTTGTCATAAGGTCAAGGTACAACTCTGGGTTGTCCTTTTACCGAGGGACACGACTATTCGAATAAATAAACTTCCCTGTAGGGGTGCACCACATTTCCCAACACGCTCGATCCCTCTGGCCGAACATGCAGGAAAAATGTCCTAGAGGCAATAATAAAGTTATTATTTATTTCCTTATATCATGATAAATGTTTATTATTCATGCTAGAAATGTATTAACCAGAAACATAATACATGTGTGAATACATAGACAAATAGAGTGTCACTAGTATGCCTCTACTTGACTAGCTCGTTGATCAAAGATGGTTATGTTTTCTAACCATAGACATGAGTTGTCATTTGATTAACGGGATCACATCATTAGGAGAATGATGTGATTGACTTGACCCATTCCGTTAGCATAGCACTTGATCGTTTAGTTTGTTGCTATTGCTTTCTTCATGACTTATACATGTTCCTACGACTATGAGATTATGCAACTCCCGTTTACCGGAGGAACACTTTGTGTGCCACCAA